GTGTGTGTGTGTGTGTACCTGATGATCTGAGCACAGTCGATGCAGTCCACCATCCTCTCGCTCCTCTTATCCCAAACCTCGACGGTTGGTGTCCCGGCTTTGCTCAGGTAAACATATTTATCCACCGCCATTCGAGACACACACGCTTCACCACCGAACGACCGCTGCTGCCTGAGACCGACACACACACCAACAAAACTGCACTGTTATACCAACGGCAGTTATATAATGATGCACGCAGACATAATTGTTAGTTGTTGTTTTTTTATTCTTTTTTTTGTTCTTCTCCAAAAAGTACAAATTATTTTTGTGCAAATACCATTTAGAACCATTTTACGCAGGAAACGGTTTCGATAAGGCCGAATTACAAATGTTCATTCTTCAGTCCCACCCTGCTCAACATACCTCAACAATTGATTTGAACCAAAAACCTTCTCTTTCCAAACGTGTTCACCTAAACCTTCAACTACAAGCTGCCTCTCATTTCCCTACATGACTTGGACTCACTGGAAGATTAGGTTTGGTCTTGTGTCAATGGACTTGCAGACGTCGTAGTCAGCTGTGAAGGAGAGGATCTTGGTCCCACAGCCAGCCCACACAGACCGGCTGTCCAGCGAGTGCACTGACTGGCCCAGACACATGACGGGCGTGTTGACGTTTCCCACAGTGAGAGTTTTAACCGGCTGCCCGTTCTCCTGCTGGAAGGAGGAGAAGAAAATAAAAGGTCCAATCTGCTGCCGGATACAGTGTCGAGATACATTTAAAGCATGGGAGGACGAGGTGGGAGTAACATCTGAGTAAAATGTCAGACCATTAAACAAAAAACAGAAGTAATCTTTTGAGAGCAAACACAGTGGATCTTGTATTCAATATCTGATATTTACCTTGAGAACAGAGTCCTCATAAACAGTGAGAATTCCATCGGCTGTCCCAACCAGCAAGTAATTCTTTCTTTGGCTGAAAAAAATGGAAAAACCAAGAGCAAGATTAAAAAAAAAAAAAGATTCAGTGCAATTATCTTGTCATGTCATTTACAGATCTTTCAGATGATTTACACCAAATCTAAACTGTGGTTACAGTACTAATTTAATTTCCTGGACTTCCAGCTTCTAACAATCCCCTAACAATATTAATAATCATTCACATGATTTCCACAGATTGTCCTTCTACAAACAGCCCTAAATCAAAGAAATCAGATAAGCAAAACTGGAATCTACCCATACGAATACAAATGGAATTAAAATGGTACAGATAATACGTTTTATTATGCAAGGAGCAACAAACAGCCATAAACCGACATGGTAAAACAATTACTGTTATTTGGTGCTTTGTTTTAATAGTCCTTGATGTTCCAGACCAAATTGAGTTCAATGTAGTGTTTCACACAACTTGTGAGAAAATGACAGGATGCCGATGGCAGTCATGGCAGTTGGTTGATCTTATCCTTTTTTTCTTTTTTCCAATAGCATTAAGCACCAATGTCAGTTCTTGGTGTTTCTACAGACACTTACGTGCGCGGCGGGTGTGTTTGGAAGTACAGCGAGGTGACAGCATCTGTGACACTCTGCAGGTGGTGCCAGGTTGACGTGTCCTGAGTGCTGATGACCACTAAGGAGCCAGATTGGGTGCCTGCAACCAGCCAATCACCGGCCTCGTTTGGGATTTGGACAGTCACAAGACACAAGACGGGACTGGTGTCAATCTCCTGCAGGAGTAAGAGAACCAAACATGAAGTATATAAATATATAGATAGAATACAAAACAAATGTCTAATACACATCCCCCCAAAACAACAGTTTTACCTGCATGTCACCATCATTATAACATTTAGTATGACGTTCGTCTTTTTATTTTTTATTTTTTTTTACCATGTCACGTTCTGCACCTCATACTTTGTTTTTTTCTTTTTTTGTTTATTAGTTTTTTTGTCTTCTTTTCTATGTGTAGTGTATTGTATTTGTACAGTCACTATTGTAGCTTTTGTTCTTGCACAATAAAAAAAAAATGTAAATAAAAAAATAAATAGTTACACAGACATCAAATAAAAATGTGTCATTATCACTGATTAAAAAAAAAAGAAACTACAGTGAAAGGTATATATTTTGCTGGCATATTGTCGACATGACTATGAACAGACCCTTTTCACTGTCTATTTAAAAATAGGTGCGACCTCGACTCTCTAGTGAAGCGTTGCTGCAGCTGTGGCTGAGACGAGTGTGAGACACACTTTCATCTCGATTCTCCTCCAGTGAAACTGAAAGAGGTTTCACTGAAAGAGGAATGAGAAGATATTTCCAACCAGATGTCACCTGATACTTCCTCATACTTAGAGGGCCAAGCATAACAAAATGAACCCATGACAAGTTGCAGCCTGGACTAATGCTGAGATTAAAATATGATTTTAACTATTACCACCAGAGAAGGTGAATTACAGTATAACAGAAGTCTGTGGAATAAAAGCGACTCTAGTTTTGGTTAAAAAAACACTCTTTTCACTTTATGTTGAAAACAAACATGTGAAATAAGAAAATATTCAGTCCCGAGGTTACCAGCGCTGTTGGTACCTGTGTAGTGACTGTGTTGGTGTCCAGGTCCACAGCTGTGATGGAGCCTAGTTTCTGGGCGCTGCTGCCTCCACCCAGCCAGGCTCTGTGGCTGTTTGAGGGGCCATCACTGTCACCAGAGCTCACTTCGAAGCACTCAGCGTTAAACACCCGGGGAACCACCAGCTCCCTCATCAGGCACAGCATCGCCCCTGAATTCAGCCTATCGAACACCTGCATACATCACAGCAGACACAAATACGTATGTGATAAATGGGCTCTGAAATCATAAAACATACTCTATGCCATAGTCTTGGGACCCATATTTTCACAGTCACAACTCACTTTTACAGAATTCTAATCAAGCAAATGTGTTTTTCAAGTAGACTAGTAAACACATATACAACGTCATCATGAAGTTTTTCACACAAAATATACATTTTTTTTCATTTCTGAATTCAGGGAGGGTGCTGTTAAATCTAAATGCCGTGCATACTTCTACACGTATTGACACACAAACACACACTTCCAGTATACATCCAGTGTCATCTTTTTTTAATAAAAAAATATACGGATATTTTCATCCCTGCAATTAGAACACATTACTCTGATAATAAAGATAGTATGAACATCACAACTGCCTAACTGTTAATTAAAATATATATATATTTTTTGTTTTAACCACACACTCCAAGACCCATTCAGTATGAGTCTGCAACCCACTTCTGGATCGCAACCCACCAGTTGAGAAAGCATGCTCTGTGATCTGCTATTAGTACCACTGGGGGACACTCTACTACAGCTTGTCTCAACACTGCTCTGCCTCCTCCAACTTTCTCACTACAAATGAAGCACCAGCACCCAATAAACACAGTTACACAGCCTCCGGGTTCTAACCTGAGCAGAAGTGGGTCGACCCTGAGGGCTTTCCCTCAAACAGTCCTTCATCAGAGCCTGGAAGCCCGGCCAAGGTGAACAACCATAGTGTTTTACTGGATCTGTGTGCAAGACAGTCAACATGTCAGCAAATGTTCTCTGACTTTACCTTTCATATCTGTCAATAAATGGATTTAAAAAAAGACAGTACAGATACAGATCTGCAAACTGAAATTCATTATAACCAAAAAAAGGAGTTAAATGTCCTTCCTTTTAGGAAAGAAAGCATGTAGTTTGTACTTAATTTGAATTTAATACTTAAATTTGATTTAATGGTTGTCATGAAATCATGGATAAAGGCACAAATCTGTGATCTAGAAGAGGTCACCCCGACACCAACATTTAAAATACAAGATGAGATTCAGTCATGACTGTCACATCGACTGTCAGCTGTTTTTTTTTATGTTGTCAAAGCTTTGTTTAGATGATTCAATTTGTAAACACATGTATATGTGATCTCATGACATTAAAACAATCAAAAAGAATCATTACCTACTAAAACACAACAGCACTTAAAAGGATAGTGGGTAAAATTCAGACTTACATCAACGCATTAAACAATGAGCACCAGAGTCAGAGAGCGGTTACAGATTTTCTTGAACTCGTGTCTCTCACGATTTAGGAAGGGAGTCTTTAATTATTACCTGGCAGTTTTCCCTGCACTGCAACCTCATCAAACTCGCTGGGGAACTTCATGCCGTCGGAGATGCGTTCACCACAAGTCAGCAGGTCGTAGAGCAGCAGGCCAAATGAGAACACATCAGCCTGCTGGTTATAGATCACATTACCTCGGGCAACCTCTGGTGCTCGGAAACCTGCCAGACACACAGCAAAGTAGTCGAATTCAAAAGCTATGCATGACCTCAAATGTAATAAAGATGAATAAGGTTTGAGGAGACGTCTAACCTGGTGTGCCCTCCGAGCTCCTCACTCCCATGCTGCAGCAGTACTGAGCGATGCCGTAGTCTGTAATCTTGGCGATGATCTCAGAGTCGGTCTTCAGGTTGAACAGGAGGACGTTGTGAGGCTTGAGATCCCGATAGATGATCATGGCTGAGTGAAGGTACCTGATCACACAGATCAAACAATTTATTTTAACATTTTCTCAACTAACTTTCCCATGTTTACACTTATTCTAAAGAAAAATAAAGTTGGACAGGCTAAACAAGACAAGACCTGAGTCCGTCAGCCACTTGCAGGGCGATTCTGTGCTGGAGCTTTCGGTTGAGGCTGCCATTCTCATGTTCAAAGAGGGAGTCCAGTGAGCCTCGCAGAGCCAGCTCCATCACCAGGACCTGAGGGGCTGAGCCAGCTGCCAGCAGACCTACCAGGCTGGGGTGACGGAGGCGACCCAACACCGCCAGCTCCTGGAGATATACAGACAATGAGAAGAAGTGAAGTATAGGAATGGTTGTGGCAGTCATTGACATTTCAGTGACTGCTGAGGTTGTCTTAAGCAAGGTACTTTGTCATTGTACTGTCAGGAACACAGCAACAGCAGCAGCATATGGACCTTTCAGTCTCTACTTGTAAATTCACAATGGTACCTGTCTGAGGAGTCTGTGGATGTAAAGCTCAGATGCATGCTTGTTGAATATTTTTACAGCTACTTCTTCGTTTTTGTAGACACCTCGATACACAGTCCCAAAGCCACCGTCCCCTGGAAACAAAATATATAATATATTCAGGTGTTTCATTTAACTTTGTTGAGGCAAGGAACGGTACGTTTTTTGACCAAGACAAGCAAAAACCAAAATGCAAAAACAATTTTCATCAAAATTTTGAGAATTTTGAATGAGATAGGTGTACCCAGTCGCTTCTCTTTAGACATGTCTACAGCCAGCTCTTCACTGTCCAGGATTGTTCCTGCAGGCTGGTCAATCAGCACCAAGTCAGGAGCAATCTGAGAGATAGGAAGTGTGCAGCGGGGGTCCTCCGGGTTCACCAGCAGGAAATCTGTGATCCATAATGTAATCATTGACATAACAGATGTCAGATAATCAGAACCATGCTTTTAGGAAACAAACTATGTGTTTTGTACCATTTTTTATGGATTAAAGAAGGAACATTCTTGAATTTGCACTTTGACAAAGCAGATGTTTTTTAGTGTGATTTACGTACCATTATCAAAACAGGTAAAGAGGTCCTCGAGCAGAATCTTGCTCCACTCCTGCCCGTCCTCAAAGCTGTAGAGAGCCCACTTCTTCAGCAGAGCCTCACCACTGCCGTGCATGTCAGTGTTCAGCAGGCCAGGAAACCATTCCTCCAGCAGGGAGTCGATGTGATCCACCACCTGACCCAGCAGCACCCGGCCTGGAGGGAGGAGAGACAACAGTTAATAATGACGGTCATCATCACTGACATCATCACTAGCAACACTGTGATATCAGTGCACTGCTACCAGCATTGTGATCTTTTGCAGTAATACCAATATACATAGATATTATATAATTAAACATACGGATATTTGGGTTAACCTGAATCTGTGCACATTAAAATATTTAAAACTGTAAAACAGCAGAGGTTTATCATTCCTTTATTACATACAACTCTGGATATATTTTAATATCTAGCAGTGCAGCCAGTTTTGCCTGTTAATGGTTGTGTTATATTTGTTGCATTATCTTAAAAAAGGCAAAGACTGTTGTCATTTAAACAGAATCATTTTTAGATGCAAGACTTGACTTTATTTTATTTATTTTTTATATGGCACCTATGCGTGAAGAGGGCACAGTTATCCTGACGAAGCTGGAGGGGTTCTTGTCCACTGAGGCAGCCTCCACCAGGCAGTAGGCCTCTGGGGACCAGCTCAGGTACACCCCTCTCCTCCAGTAGATCCGGTTGGGTCGCACCGCTTTTTCTGGATAACACACAGCAAGATAATTCATTAGATAAATGACTGGGTTCTTTCTTTGAATTGTATCTACAGAGTAGCACCCCTGATGAAACATGTTCTACTTACCTCTTCCAGAAAGCAAGTAAGAGGAAAACTCCAATAAGCGGCTGATCTGGCGAGACCAGTAATCCATGGGAAAGTACGGCATCTCATACAGACGCACAATCACCTCGGAGTTCTCACAGTGAGGCAGCTCTATCACCGGCCTGTGTCTGGACAAACTGGAAAGGAAGCGATGACGGTGAAATATTTTATATATCTCTCCACAACGGCACAATCTAAAAACACAGACATCTATAGCTGCAAATTTAAACATACCTGCTGGGTACCAGTAGCTGGTCCTCGCCAAAGGGTAGAGCGATCTGAAACTTCTCCAGCAGTTTTAAGAACTGCGTGAAGTGGCTCTTGGGGAAACATTTGGTCTCAAACAGAAACTTCTCCACCACTGAGCGCTGAATAACTCCTTTAGGAGGTTCCCAGAAGCCGCAGCTCTTTAATGTCAGTTTCTACACAAAGAACAGACAACACCTGCATCTGTGAACCCGACAGAACTAACACATTCATTGACAATCATGTATCTGCATATGAGTTAATAGATGGGTTGTATGTGGCTGCTTATGTGAACTATTTGGGAGGCCTTCAGTTCTTAACATGGCTCACTGATTCTCTAAATTTAGGGTGAGCTGTTCATAAATGTGAATATTGTATGCATCGTTTTCAGTTGGAGACTTGGAGGATGTATGGATACGCTCAACTTACGATTTGATACAATTCATGATACTGGGTTCACAAGATGATTTTCTACGGATTTTTTTACAAAATGACATTGAAGAGAAATTACTGTAAAGAAAATTCCTTTATTTCTCTGACGGAAATCTCTAAATATATTTTCTATGTCAAATCAAAGAATCCTTTCTATTTCATGAGGTAGCGTATAAACTGTGCAAAACAATGCATATGTACTTCTCTTTGTAAAACTGAAAGTGACGTTTCTTCGTCTTGATACAGCTACTGTCATGAGTAATGTAGCGCTTTAAACAAGTACAGTCGAAAGTACATAGCGCCCTCTGCTGTTTAAAAGGAGAATGATTAATTTTTCATCTCAGCTATTTGAATCTTCACATATTTGTATGCGATTTATGTGTCTCACGATATATCTTTAGATTCCTAATGTACTGTGTAGCGGATATGCAGTTGAATCACTTGATAAATAGTGTGGACATAACAACTAGGCTAGCGAAATGTTAGCCTGAACAAAGACACGAAGCGTGTGCGATTGTCTCTGTGTGTCCAGATGAAGCTACCTGGGAGATGATGTTGCACAGCCACTGTGGGTCGATGAAGTAGAGTTCTTGGAGCTGAAGTGCAGGATCATCAAAGTGCAGTAAAACTCCTTCAGTGACAGAGGAGGGAAAAAAACGCAACAATGCCTGGTCAGATTGTTATTGTTATAGTATTGTTGGTCCTTCAGTGTTTTGTAGAATATCTCTGTATGCTTTTAATTCTTCTTCTCCTACCAGTGTCTGAGAAATTGACTGAGGAGACACAGTAATATTTCAATTCATACAATCACATCTCAGAGTCATCCTGTTCTCTGCCTGCTACATGTATGACTGCATAATTCGATGATGTGCGTAGAGCTGTGACTGATGGTACAGTAAGTGCTGATGCCAAGATGAAGGAGAGCTGAGGGATATTAGTAATTTGGGACATTATATTCCACTAAAGGTCTATTAAGGTCATCCACTTCATTTTCAAAACTATTTAAGGCCAGAACGATGTTGAATGTAGCAGGTCTTCTTTAAAGCAGCTGTGACCCCCGACTCACCAGCTTCACTGAGGAAGTGGACAGCGTGGGGCAGCTCAGCTTCCTCCAGCTGCAGCTGACTCTCCTGGATGAGCTCCAGTAGCACCTGGTGCCTGAGAACAGGGAACTCTGGGGGAACCCGGGTTCTTTCCTGCAGGACCCGGCGCTCCAGCTCCACATAGCTGTCTGGAACCAGCTGGCCCATCACAGGCTGGCCCTGGATCTGCGAAAGGGAGAGGAGAAGAGAAGGTGAAGGCAGAATCAAGGAGGGTTAAAGAAAGGCAAGGTTTAGTCCGCTGTTTGTGTCGTTTTACCTTAAAGCTGGTGACTTCCCTGAAGATGGCCTTGCGGAGCTTGGTCATGGCGTCTGAGTCCTCGCAAGCAGAGACTATGTGGTAGTCCTTGATGGCAGGGAAGCCTTGGTGGTTCAGCAGCTCCTCTCTGATCTTGGTCATGCAGGACTGAAGTTGCAGCTCCTCGCTCACATCTGTGTGGGTTCCTACCAAGATGACTGGGGACAGAGGAGCTGCAGCCTGAATAGTAGAGGAGTGCAAGGGTTTTTCACAAGATAAAAAAATATATATATACTCCTGTATGTAATTTAGATTTCAAAGTTTTCTCCAAAATAATTTTATCTTGAAAACTTTTAACATTTTTCTCTTGAAACAAGTGAAACACGTTTGCCAACAATCTGTTTCCATCATAACTGAATCTTTGGTTTATGACTCACTTTGATGTTAAAGAGCCAGGGTTTGAGAGCGTCCACCTGACTGGCTCCTTTGTTGAGGTTGTATACCACCAGGTAGAGAGCTCTGGAAGTCAGGAAGTGAGGGTGAGAGCCACTGAACTCCTCTCCACCTGTGAGGTAAAGGAGCAGGGAGTGAAACAAAATCACACTGGATGAATAGGATACACACATACCTCTCTCAAATCAGTAATGATATATTTTAATCTGTGTCTTACAACACGCATACCTTAAAATATAAGATTTATGTACTTCATCTATAATATCCTTGCTTCATTCCTACAAAGAATATCTACATATTGTTGATTACTTTTGAGCCAACTTCTTCTTGAAATAAGACCAACATTAAATCAGGTAAAGAAAATGAATCTTACAGCAACTGAAAAGATGGTGTACTGTAACTGTATAGATGGAAATCTAGGAGTGATGGAGTGTATATCATCACTAAGGCTATGAAAGTGTCAAATGTTGTTTGTTTGTTTTCTTGCATGGGTTAGGGTACATGGTGTTAAAGGGATGACTTGGACCTGAACATTCAACTTTGATATGCTCTTGGTAACCCAGGGGATTTAGACTCTATCTAGCTGCAACCTGCAGTAAGGACTGATCATTAAGATGCCCTGCTGTCCCTGTACCATGTGTGACTTTATGTTTAGTTGTTGTGTTTGCAATTTATCCCTAAACAGCTTTTTAAATAAATCCATTTAACTTCATTTATTGGCCAACCTGAGAAGTCCCAGACGTTCAGCACCATTTTCTTCTTGTCCCGTTCCCTGACGGTCCAGTCCCGGACGTCAATGCCAAAAGTGTCCTGCTTCGAGTTCAACTGGGAGCGCTTCAGCTTCATCAGCTGCTGGATCAGGGTGGTCTTCCCACTTCCCACATTCCCAACAACGATGAGCTTCATCCGGTAGTACGGCACTGCCTTCTTCAGCCGCTGCTGCAGGAACCTGGGAGAGAGGGTGGCGAAAAGGTATGACTTATTAATTGTGAGATATATTTAATATTACTTCATCTTCTACAGTTTCAAGACTGAGTGATCACTATCACTGAGTGGCCCATAAACTGTGGGGAAAATAGCAAAAATGGAATTTGAGGTAATCAAAGAGAATTTAATTTAGGTTTGTAAAGCCCCTGACCTGACGATGTCTTTGGTCTTGCTGCCAATGAGTTTGAGGTCCAGCTGGAGTCGAAGGCCGTCCAGCGGCAGGTCCCACAGTCGGCCCAGTTTCCCCATCTCATCCGGGAAGGAGCGCAGGTTAGTATTATGACTCACATCCAGGGAGGTCAGGCCCTCCAACAGGCCGATCTTTGGAGGGATCTGAATAGAGACAGTACAACCATCAAAGGCTTTTTCGGAAGGTAAAGAAAGGGCTTAATTTGCAAAAACAGAGTCTTGGTTGTGATTTATGTTCCCAAGTCAAGTTTGTTTTTGCAATATCAATCAAACAGGTGTTGGGTTGTTCAGTTTAAGAACGGCTTTTATCGGTTTCTTTACCTCAGTGAGCTTGTTGTTGCTCAGGTGGAGTTTCTCCAGTCTGGCCCATTTGTAGATCGGACCACTCAGATCCAGATCTTTGATACAGTTATGACTGAAGATCAGCTCTCTGAGGTTGCTGGACTCCCAGAATCCCGGGCCAGGCAGAGAAGCAATGTTGTTGGTTCTCATGTCCAATGACCGCAAGCTGGATAAATCGAGGGATGATGATTAAGCATTTGTGCTATAAATCTTCATCACACAGCCAGAAATAAAGCGTTGAGAACTGCACATTAGAAATACAGTGGTGTGAAAAAGT